CAGAGGCAAAAACTCATGAAATCTCTCCTGGAGGTGGCTGTCATAATAACTTTGTTCCAATACATGCTTTCCATCAAATGCAAGTTCCTAGTAAGAGAGGCTGATTGACCTGGGTAGGTTCCTATTCATCCAGGGAGGATGGGTGGGCTGACCCTTTAATCTACAACCCAAGACTATCTGGCTACAGCTACTGGTAAGATTCATCAGGTCATACCTTCACAAGCTCTGGCTACAGCTACTGGTAAGATTCATACTTTCACCAGACTATCTGGGTAGATTCGTACCTTCACCAGCTCTGTGGAGCAAGAATGGCTTCCTATTATTTGTGAAACAAAAATACAGTGATGTCTCAATTACTCAACTGTCAGTGATTTAGCAGGGTCTAAACTTTCTTTTTCCTAAAGAGATTAGGATTTTGCCCTGAGCTTTTGGAATTCAAGATGGTGTTTGGAGGTAGAAGTCACGGAGAGGGATAGAGAGAGGAAGGACAAGGCCCATGGGAGAAAGGTGACACTCTAGACAATCCAGGAACCCCTGCAGGCTCCAGCAACACCTTTGCAACTTCTATAGAGTCTCCAATACCCTATCTTAGAAGTTTCTCCCAATGCTCATGTCTGCCTCCTATTTGTCCTCATTCAGAGTTTCTTTTCCCCCTATGCCTCTGTTTAGAGCCCAAACTCTTCACATGTTCCTACAGAAACTCAAATTCCAAGGCCAAAATTCCCCTTTGTGTGTTGAGAAGGGACTGGTTGCAAGGAAAAAAGCAAAGATCCAGCAACAAGAAGAGATAAGTGATGGCATGAGATCCCCAAGGAAGCTTCAGGGAATGATGAGCCTAAGTAGAAACACCGGCAGTAGATGGGGAGAAGCCTTGGTACCAGGAGGCAGGGAGTTAAAGATGGCTAGCATGTGGATAAGTTTGGGGAAGGAATGAGAGGGTCTTCAATCTTCTCTGCTCCTTTATTTCTAAGCAGTGGAAATCAAAGTCATTGGCCGAGAAGAGGCAGGGTTGTGTAGGTTATGTAGCTTCAGGAGTGAGAAATTTGAAGTGTCTGCTAGGGCTGGGCTCATGACTGGGAGGCTACCCATGGAGAGTCACTAGCAGGGCAGACAGGAACTAGGAAACTATTTCTGATAATTCCAGAGGAATAGGGGGAACATTTGAAGACGCGCCTGGAAGCCTGTGCAAGGCTGTGTCTGCACAGGAAAACCTTGAACAACCTTGAACAATGATAGAACGACTCCCTTTCTTCTCACTGACAGTACACTAGCTTCTTGTCGTCTTTTTGTTCATCATGGCAAATTGGTGAGGCACACAGAGCAGGCACAGAAATTCCCATCTTCTATATGAATAAGGTGAGGCTCTGGCATTGAGGGTCTTGCCCAAGACCACTCAATTCATTCAACGCAGAGACAAAGCTAAACACTGAGGTCTCTGGCAGCTGTTACAGTGGAAAGTTCTGCTGAACACGTGTTCCGTGGG